TTCTTTAGACTCCATTTTGTCTATCGATTGAGTACAAGAAACTCCCATTTCCCGTTTTCAACTACCTAATAATGTGGTCAGAATTTGAAATTTGGGCCCAAATTTCACGAAAACTAAAAATTTGAAATTTAAAAATAAGGTCCAGAATGAAAATGCAGCATTCCTGGCTCTAAATAACTTTTCTTTGCCATCAGTCATGTTCCAGGCCCCTCTGATATTACTCTTGCTTTCTATTTTGAATTTTTATTCAAAAAAAAAATAGAAATTACTATTTTTCAGACTACGAAATACTGTAATAATTGTATAAAACATAAACCCATCATGATGATATTAGAATGGTATTGGACTTTTATTGGACAATGGCATATTTTTTACTTTTGAACTTTGGGAAAAAAACAAACATTTCCCCTACTTTGAGCTCCATTTTATTTTCTTTTTATGAAAAATAATCCAAATCACCTCTATTTCTATAACATTTTTTCCATTCTACAAATGAGACCAAAGAAAACGAGAATACAACCATAAATACTAACGAAATAGCCCAAAAAAGTGGGCATTTCAATTAAAAAAACGGTCGGTTTTTTTTTTTTCATTAGATGCATGCTCCCGGTTTTTGTTATATGGTGCACATGACCACACAGACCCATTTTCCCCAATGTGGGCCACCCCCTTTCTCCCCCTGTTTTTGAAAGCCGCGAATTATGAGTTATACTCAAAAAGCCTTAACTATATATCGGCCCCCCAACAGCAAAGGTTTTACAAAAACTTCAATTTTATTCCCCTCTCACAAACACATTATTAAAGTCCTCCCCTCAAAACCCCTCCTTTTAACCCCTTTTGGGGGTTTCGGCTGGTTTTTAGTACGGCTTTCGCGCCAGGGTTTTTTTTAGGTACTAGTACGCAATAAATTCTAGCGCCCTCAAATTAGCAAAAAAAAACTGTAGGGCCCACATATGAAGAATGGGGCTATGTGGTTGGTGTGCGCAGTAAAAAAAAACCGCAGCACACAGTGGTAACGAGAAAAAAAAACTTTGACTGTGTTTTTGGGAAAAACAGCGACTTTTGCACTTATTTTCGTATGGTATTTATGGTTGTATTCTATTTTCCGGGCCTTATTTTTTAGAATGGAAACATATTACAGAAAAATTGAGATGATTTTTTATTGGTTTTTACAATGAAAAGTACCTTAAATGAGCCAAAATAGCAAATTGTTTTTATTTTTGCCCAAAATTTAAAAGTAAACAAATCATGACACCGTCCAATACACATCAACTGGTGATCTAAAATTCTTTCACAAATGTGCTGATATTATTTATACCATTTCACACAATACAGTAGTTGCATAAAAGAAATCTTCTATTTTTTGTGAGAAAAAAATTCAAAGTGGAAAGCATAAAAAATGTAAGAGGGGGATGGGGGGTTTACTAATGAAAAGAGGAAATGTTTTTTAGTGCAAAAATGTCTTTTTGTTTATCTGGGGCCCTATTTTGGGAAATTTGGCTCTTTTGAAATTTGTGTGAAATTGGCAAAATTGCTAAATTCTGACCACTTTATTGGATAGTTGAAATCGGTAAATGGGTGGTTTCTTGTATTCGATAGAAAAACTGGAGTTCTAGCGAAATAGTTATGATTTTTGTCGACTAGTACACTGAAATTGGCTGAAAATAGGGCTCAAAGTGGGCAAAATTGCCGATGCGTAAACTTTGCTGAGACCGCTAGCATTACTTCACAACATTAATGTCAGCCTGTCTTTCATTTATTTATTTATTTATTTATTTATTAATTTGAACATGATACAGAGAAGTACAAGGAATACAATTTTTAAAGTGCAGCATGCCAAAGCCCCTTGTATGCAGAGCATTATGGGAGGCTTAAAATTAACTTAAGATTAACTAAGCAATGATATATTCAGTGGTATAAAAATTATTGTAAAACAGATAACAATTTAGTACAAATGAGTATTACAAAGACAGGTCATATGGTCATTTACTGTGTTGCTGTGTAATCAGTAGAATGGAGTATTCATAGGCTTGTGTCCTGAGAGTGCCTTTTCCTCCTGAGTAATGTAGGTCCTGTTTGGCATTTTCTTCCAAAACTGGCCTGTTTCGTCACAATTAAACACTTGTTCAGGTTTTAGGTTTTCAGTCTCTGTGTATTCCTTAAAGTCCTTCACATATTTTTCAGCTGCATTTTTGTCTGAACTGGCTGCCTCACCATGCCTTACCACACTGTGTATGCCACTATGAATCTTAAATCTCTCAAATCAGTCTTTGCTGGCCTTAAATTCATCAGCAGCAGCACTATTTTGAGGCATTTTCTTAATGAGATCATCATGCAACTTCCTTGCCTTTTCACAAATTACAGTATAGACTGAGAAATACTATCACCTGATAATTGTTTTTCGTTTATCCGTTTTGAAAACATACTTGAACCTTTCACAACAACAGCTTCCTTGATTGCCTGTCTGTTCGCCAAGATAGTACTGATGTTTGAATGTGATTTGTTGTATTGCCTTTCCAACGCAACAATACGCACTCCACTCTTGTATTTTTCAATGATCTCCTTCTTCATTTTAATTGTAATTCTCACCCTTTTTAACACAGGCTTGGCACTAGAAGCTTTCTGGGGACCCATGGTGGCTTATTTAGCAGTTACAAGCACTAGAAATAGTGGAATAATCCAAAATATATGGGAGGCACATGTGGAAACCGACTGCAACAGCTTGTAAACAATGGCACACTGACTCTTGGAGTGGCTGGGCCTGCTCAGGCAGCGCTCCGGGCACATCGACACGTTCCAGACAAACGTTGGTTAAGGCATTTTTTCTATGGCAAAAAGTGCCGTTAGATAAAATTGCTGTTACTTAATGCTGCCGTTAGCTGAGGGTCGACTATATACTGTACCAGAAACAGAACCGGTCCTAGGTCTGACCCCTGAGGAACCCCACTCGTCACAGGCGCCCACTCTGACACCTCATCACGTACCATGACTTGCATATGTCTTTCCGACAGGGAAGACACATTTCTGCCGTATGTCTAAGTCCCTTGGACACAAAACCTCCTTTACCCCGCCCCCTATCCATTCCTAGGATGACCCCTACCCCACCTTCCCTCCACTACAGATTTATACACCCTCCAAGTCATCGTATTTTGCTCCATTCTCTCTAAATGACCAAACCACCTAAACAAAGCAATTCACTTTATTGGAGGCCAAATGCATACATTATCTTGAAAAACATTGGAATGTCTTAGCAGTAGATCATGTTTTTATTCATTTAATTTCTTTCACTTATTGCAGTAACTGATGATTTTTTTCAATAATCATAATACTGATGGTTTACTTATATTACACTGCTTATTTATTCACTTTATCTGAGTTACAGAAAGCTATGTATATACACTAAATAGACGACGGGTATATATGGGTATTCAGCAAATACAAGTAGTTTTGAATTGTTCATTGCAAATATTTATTACATCTTAAATATAGGTGTGAGCTGAGGGGAAGATTTGCTTTCCTGTAACTCACTGAACCCCATTAATCTCAACCATCCTTCAGAGCATAGGCACTTCACTTTCCAGGTCCAGAACTCAAGTTCAGCTAACCAGCTTCCCTGAATCCGTTCATAAATGTGACCTTGTTCATACTTTATCAGTTACATAGTACAAATACAACTAAGTGCTCAAAATGATCCATGTTCTAGTGATTTTCTTTGTGCTTAACAATATTTTATTACATGTAAAACTACATTTTGTATTCTGTAGAAAGGAATAGTTTCTTTGTTTAACCCTTTGAGGGTCGACAGGCCCTCTCCGAAACTCGTTCTCAGGGTCGGCCAAATTTAAAAAAAAAAAAAAAAAAATTATCTTATGAAAAGATAGATAATCTTTTCCCGATCATAAGGACACCAAAAGTTTGAAATTTGATGGAAAACTTACGGAATTATGCTCTCGCGAAGTTAGCGGTCTCGGGGATATTTACGCATCGGCGATTTTGCCCATTTTGAGCCCCATTTTCGGCCAATTCCACTGTACTAGTCGACAAAAAACATGAATATTTCGCTAGAACTCCATTTTTTCTATCGAATGGGTGCAAGAAACCACCCATTTATGAAACTCAACTATCCAGTACAGTGGTCAGAATTTAGCAATTTTGCCAATTTCATACAAATTTCAAAAGATGCCAATTTCCGAATAGGGTCCAGAATAAACAAGAAAGACATTCCTGGCGCTAAAATGACATTTATTTCCTCTGGTCATTAGTCACGTCTCAAGGCCCCTCTTATATTCTTTTGCTTTCCACTTTGAATTTTTATTCTCACAAAAAATATAAGATTTACTGTTATGCAGACTACTGCATTAGTGTAAAAAATGGTATAAATATTATTGGCACACTTGTGAAAGAATATTAGACTTACCAGTTGACGTGTATTGGACCATTGGCACGATTTGTTTACTTTTGAAATTTGGTAAAAATCGAACATTTCTGCTACTTTGAGCTCAATTTCAAGGTATCTTTCATTGTAAAACCAGTCAAAATCATCTCAATTTCTGTAATATGTCTTCCATTCTATAAAATGAGACCAAGAAAACTAGAATACAACAATACATACCATACGAAAATACAGTGCAAAGTGGCTGTTTTATTCCAAAAAAATGGTCAAAGTTTTTTTTTCTCATTATGCACTGTGTGCTGCAGGATTTTTTTTAGACTGTGCACACTGACCACATAGACCCATTCTTTCATATGAAGGCCTACCAGCTTTCTCCCACTAGATTTGAGGGCGCTAGAATTTAGGCGTACTAGTACGTCAAAAACCCTGGGTCGTAAGCCGTACAAGTACGTCCGAAACCCTCAAAGGGTTAAGTAAATTTTACAGAAGTGTGTTATGAGTTATGAGACAAATACAATGTAGAGTAAAAGATAATGAGGATGTATCAGTTGCTTTTCAGCAAGAAAGCTTACTGTTAAGGTTTTACTTCTCATTCATTTAATTTCAGAATCAAAACCCTTAATTACTTTGAATACTTTCCTCACAGATTGTGTGAAGTGCAGTAAGACATATAGTGGATTATGCCCAAAACATCCAATGACACTAATACTGGACACTCCTGTAAGTTTTATTTTAATTGTTTAATTGTTAAAGCATTCATGAGATGTTTAATGTGCTGTGTTCATTTCCTTATACTAGCACTAAAGTCAAATTTCAGTTTTTACAAGCTAGTGGGTCAAACACTAGGCAAACATGGCTGTTGCCTACAGTGTCAAAATTTAGGAAGATGTTTTTGAAGAGGGAAATTGAATGAGATACTGTACTGTATTGTTTCTCCTTCTTTCAACAGACCGGCCATATCCCACCGAACCAGGGTGGCTCAAAAAGAAAAGCAAAAGCTTCTCATTTTAACTTTAGTAATGTATATAGGAGAAGGAGTGGCATTTTAGTCGCCTCTTGCGACATGCATGGCTGATGGAGGAAGAATTCTGTTCCACTTTCCCATGGAGAAAAGAGGAAATAAACAAGAACGAGAACTAGTAAGAAAATAGAAGAAAACCGTAAGGGGTGTGTATAGGAAAATAGGAGGCTGAAGCTTCGTCTAGATGGGTTTGGGAGTGAGTGTGAGATGGTGGTAGCTGGTGAGGAGAAAAAAGTTACCAGCAGTGATTTGGAGAGTGGCAGCTGCTTTAAGTGGCAAGTGATTCACAATTCAGGAAGAAGGATGATAAGGAAGGTTAATAGAGAAGATGTATAGGTAGGAAATCAATTCTATGTTCTCCAGGACGGGTGTACTTCAGTGGTTAGTGAGATTAAAGGTACCACTGACTCCCCTGCTTATCAAGGTAAGAATATTCTGATTGTGGGAGATTCTCAGGTAAGATATGGACTGCTTTTTATAACAGAGATAGAAAGGTCAGACAGAGGGTGTGTCTCCAAGGAGCTGATGTTGGTGACATAGTCAGCAGGTTGGATAATATTGTCAGGCAGCGGGAACAAGCCCATTATCTGTCTTAGTGCTGGTGGAAATGACATCAGGAATGGCAGGAGACAGGAGCTGCTGAGTAAGTATAGGTCAGCCATAGATGTAGTCAGGTGTAAGGGAGGGATCTCAATCATATGTAGCATCTTGCCTAGAAGGGGAGTGGGCAATGAATGGCTGTCTAGGGCAATTGGTATAAATTGCTGGCTAGACAGGTACTACGAGGAACTTGCAATCCCTTTCATTGATAACTGGGACATATTCTGTGGCAAGCATGATATGTATGCAAGGGATGGGGTTCATCACTCTGGGGCTGGAGTGGTTGCATTAGCCAGTTTGATTGAGGGGAGTCATTGATGACTTGTCTAGGACTTGAAACTGATGGATTAGAGAAGTATGGGTGTCTGTGGGAAACAGACAGGCTGCAATACTAGGAGTGAAAACAGCAGATATAACCAGGATACCTCAGGGATATGTTTAAAAGACAATATTAAAAATAAAGTTGCTAGTAAAGGCAAAGCAATTGATCAGACAAAGAGAGATAGTAGAGGGCATCTAGTGACTAGCTCTGTTAGGGTTTACTGTACAAATAGTAGGAGTCTAAGAAATAAGATAGATGAGCTAAGATTACTTGCAAGTGCAGGTAATATAGATATTATTGCTATAACAGAGACCTGGTTCAACTTGAAAGATAGAGAAATGCCCTCTGAATGCAACATACAGGGTTATAAACTATTCCATACTGGTGGAGTGGCGATGTATGTCAGAGATAATTTAAATTGTTGTGTTAGACAAGATATAAGACTAAAAACATCGGACACAGAATCTGTTTGGCTACAGTTTCTCGAGGGTCGTGAAAGGTTAAAATTTGGGTGTGATTTATAGGCCCCCAAACCTTGATAGAGAGTGCAGTAAGCTGCTGTGGGACGAAATTCATAAGGCATCTAGATAAATAAATGTTGTGTTAATGGGAGATTTTAACTTTAGACAAATTGATTGGAACAATGTGACAGGAAATCTTGAGTCTAGTGACTTTCTTGATACGGTTCAGGATTGCTTTTTAAAACAGTTTGTGACAGAACCAACTAGAGGAAACAATCTACTTGACTTGCTTCTTGCCAACAAAGAATCACTAGTTAATAATCTTAAGGTTAATGATGAGCTTGGGGAAAGCGATCACAAATCACTTAGTTTCAATATATCATGGAATTACCCGGATAACTGTAATCAAATCTCTGTCCTAGACTTTCGCTTGGCCGATTTCATGGGACTGAAAAATTACTTGGGTGGACTAAATTGGGATGTCCTGACTATGGGTCAGGTAGGTGATCTTGGTTGCCAATATGACATTTTTCAGAGCATAGCTTTAGCTGCCCAGACAACTTTTGTTCCGAGTAGGGAAATTAGATCTAACAAAAATGATCCCAGATGGATGAACAGTAGATTAAAACATCTCATTGGTCAAAAGAGAGGCATATATAGGAGTATCAAAAGAGAGGAGGGACAGTTAAGAAATCAGTATATTCAATTAAAGAGAGAAATAAAAAAAGGAATAAGAAAAGCAAAAAGGGATTATGAGGCTAAGGTCGCAAGGGATTCGAAGACTAACCCAAAAGGGTTCTTTCAGGTATACAAAAGTAAGATTAGGGACAAGATAGGCCCACTTAAGAGTAATTCAGGTCAGATCACTGACAGTGATAAGGATATGTGTGAAATTTTCAATTGTTACTTCCTCTTAGTTTTTACTCAGGAAGATACTAGCGAAATTCCAGAAACAATAGATTATGTAGAACAGGACGATAATAAACTATGCACGATTGCGGTAACTAGTGACATGGTCCTCAGACAAATAGAGAAATTAAAACCTAACAAATCCCCAGGCCCTGACAAACTGTTTGCAAGGGTGTTAAAGGAATGTAAAGAGGAACTTAGCATACCTTTGGCTAATCTTTTCAGCATATCACTACAAACTGGCATAGTGCCTGACAAGTGGAAAATGGCAAATGTAATACCTATTTGCAAGGCAGGTGACAGGTCCTTAGCTTCAAACTATAGAGCAATAAGCCTTACCTCCATAGTGGGAAAATTTATGGAATCATAAATTGCCGAAGCAATTCTTAGCCATCTCGAAAGGCATAAATTGATTAGTGAATCTCAACACGGTTTTACAAAGGAGCATTCCTGTCTTATGAATTTACTAACTTTCTTCACTAAGGTATTTGAGGAGGTAGATCATGGTATTGAATATGATATTGTGTATATGGACTTCAGTAAGGCTTTCGATAGAGTTCCACATCAGAGGCTGTTGAGGAAACTTAAGGCACACGGAATAGGAGGAGAAATTGTTTCCTGGGTTGAGGCATGGTTGATGAATGGGCAGCAGAGAGTTTGCATAAATGGGGAGAAATCAGAATGGGGGTATGTCACAAACGGTGTTCCATAGGGGTCAGTGTTCGGCCCCTTGTTGTTCACAATCTACATAAACGACATAGATGAGGGAATAAATAGCGACAAAAGCAAATTTGCGATGACCCCCCAAAATAGGCTATCCCACTTTCATTTAATGAGGACTTTTTGGCATTTCCGGGGATGATTTGAATACCCTATGCAGTGGTGGGAAAAGTGGCAGATGCTTTTAATTTAGAAAAAAAACCCAAAAGTTCTAAATTTTGGGGACAGGAAAAAAAAAAAATGTCCATTTAAATTTAAAAAATTGTGATCCATGTAATGCCCATAAAAGTGAGAAAAACCATTCTTTTTTCCTAAATTACATTTAATTGAAATACTTTTCCCATTTGGGGCCCCCCTGTTTTTTGCCATTTTTTCTTTCCCAGAAAGTGATGAAAACTAAATTTTAAAAGAAAAGGAACCAATATTTCCCATAAAAAAAATAATGTTTTAAAATCTATTCCGAGACACCAAAAGTTTTTTAAAAATACATTTTTAGAAAAATTAACAAATAGTTTTACATACAGAAAAGGGGAGAAATAAATAAAAAAGGGGACTAAGGGAAATGGAAAAAAGAACTTTTTAACACCCACTTTTAGCTTTACTGAAGACTCTTGTTGGGTATGGAAGAAGGCTAGGAGAGGAGAGGGGAGGGGGGGTTATCTTACCACTTTTCACTTACCCTCTGCCCAATTACTACCACCCTCTCCCCAAAATTCATACCCCTCTCCCCTCCACAAAAACATTACCCCCCACCCTTTCCCATCAACTCAGGGTTTCGGGTAGTCAGTACTCAGTGGTCAGTGTCACGTGAGGTAAGCCCCCTGAGTTTGCCTTGGGGTTTAAATGGGGGAACGGTTACAAAGATGGTTTGCTTCTGCAGTTTTTTAAAAAATTTGGGGTTTTGGGAGAGTTAAAGGAGGAGGTCTTGCTTCTTCCGGAGGAGATTAGGAGGCTTTTAAGGTCCACCTCAAAGGGTCTGGGAGAGGTGTGAGGTGGGTGGAGTTGTGGGGAATGAGGTTTTTAGCAGCGGGTGCGTCTGTTTTTCGCTGTGGGAGGCTTTTAGTTGGGGGAGGAAAACAACGGTACCACAGTGGGGTGCAGCCCCCGCACCCGCTACAAGTGGCGAGTAGGGTTCCCCGTTAAAGGAAGGCGCTTTTAGAGTAAGGAAAGTTAAAAAGTGGGAAGGGTCTGAAGGTTTGGAAATGCTTCCTTTTTCTTCAGGATGAAAGTACTTCAGTGGCCAGTGAAGGTTTAAAGGGTTAATTTCTTGGGCCCCTTTCTAAAAGGAGGTAAAACGCATTCTTTTGGTTGGTTTACTCTCAGGTTTTGATTTCATTGACCGTTGCTTTTTGTTTAAAAGGAATAAGAAGATGAGAGATTGGTGTGCTTCCCCGGAGCTGGGGGTTGGGGGGCATTTTCAACAGGGGTGGTTTAAAATCATGTCAGGTAAAGGGAGCAAACCCATTATCCGGGCTCAGTGCTGGTGGAAATGGGTTTTTGGGAAGGGGTTGGAGAGAAAAAGCTGCTAAAATAAGTACAGGTCAGCTATTGATTTCCCTTAAGTCAAGGGGGGGTCCCAAACATATTAGCATTTTTTGCCTAGAAGGGGGTTGGAAAAGAATGGTTTGTCTAGGGGGAATTGGGGTTAAAAATTTCTGGCTAGGGCAGATACTGAAGGAACTTGCAA